TGTCACTTTGCATTTTCTCCATGCGTGTGTGTTTGCATCCCTCAGGCAGCTACAGAGGACCATGGCATTTGCAGGGATGCTGAGCGACGAGGACATCAAGGCTGCGGTCCAGGCTTGTCAAAGTGAGTCAGACAGCACACACACACACACACACACATATACTTGCACGCAAGGAGACAGACCCTTCACTAGCATCTAATTGTTAACACAAGTAGGTGAGTACTGTACATCAACTCACATATTACAGAGAGAGAGAGAGCGACAGGCATTGTTGGACCTACTTCCACTCCCACAAGGGATACCTGTGTGGTGTGTTGTTCACAGGGGGGGACAGGAGAGAGCTTGCAGGTAACCAGGCAGCCATGCGACAGGAGAGCAGTTACCGCCCAGATACCAAGTGTTTATGCTGAGCATTCACACAGAGAAGACAAAATCACATGAGCTATACTGCCTTCACATCTCAAAGCTCTTAATCATTTATCTCTAGCAATTATGTCTGCATGACAAAGCAAACACAGCTCAACCGCTCCAATGAATATCAAATGTCAGCGCTTATATGCCCTTTATTGAAGAAATCCCCTGCTTTTGGCAGTGTTTTAGGCAAAACAACATTCAAACTTTTGTATTTCATTTTTTGGATCTAGTATGTATGATTTATTTCAAGAAGTGATGGAAAACTATTTTTTTTTTAAATATCTCAACTCTTTCAGCAAATCAACATTTTCAGTTACTTGAAGGTAACTCATCCTAGATAAGAATTTCCACTCTTAACAGCTCTTAACATTTAGGATTGCATTAGACCCACAGGCAATATTCAGTGTGCTTTCACTGTTTCAATGGCACAATGACATAGCCGATAATGTTATAAGACAGTGATGCACTACAGGGTGTATATTGGTAAATGTCATTGGTTGAAGAATGAAACCCATCTGAGAGAATGAGTAAATGCGACATCTCTATTCAGCCCCATTATTGCTTTTTTGTCATCCTGTGATTGACCCCTCACTCTCACATCTGTCTCTCTCTCTCTCTCTCTCTCTCTCTCTCTCTCTCTCTCCATCTCTTTCTCTCTGCCTATGTAGCTCCAGGCACATTCGACTTCAAGTCGTTCTTTGCTCAAGTGGGACTCACCGGCTCATCTGAGGCAGATGGCAAAAAGGTGTTTACAGTTCTGGACCAAGACAGGAGTGGATACATTGAGGAGGAGGAGCTCAAGTAAGGAGAGAGTGTGTGTGGTTTAGGGGCTAGAGTAATGATACAGATGGGTGTGTGTGAGTGTGTGTGTGTGTGTTACATTTTTACTGTACCTCCCTTGTGGTGGCCCTCAGGCAGAGGTCACTGTAAGAATGGAGCAGCCTTTCCGCTGCGAATGAATTCAGTAATACATGAGGGGAGGGCTGGTGAGTGAGTGATGGAGAGGGGTCGGTTAAGACAGCTCAGAAAGACCTGGAGGGGGAGAAAATGCCATCAGAAAAGATAAAGTCTCAGATACAAAGTTGAACTTATCGCTGATATTTTTTTGTGCACGCATTAGGCTGTTCCTTCAGAATTTCTCTCCGGGGGCGAGGGAGCTGACTGTGGCTGAGACCAAAGCTCTGATGGCTGCCGGAGATAAGGATGGCGATGGCAAGATTGGGATGGAAGGTGGGTGCATGTAAAACATCTAAAAAAAAAAGCTGTCAGCAGATGAGAAAAGGAGCCATCTGTACAGGGAGCTGTCCATTGCTTAGTGCTGAAACTGCAGTCTATAAAAAGCACATGCATTAACACTATATACTGAAGTATAAAAGTACTACAACAAGCTAAAATATATACACTTTCTTGTTTGTTTAGTCATCTTCATTAACCATAATGTTGTATTACACTGACTTTCGCCTGGAGAACACTATTTCAATTTGCTATGTGAAGCACTTTGGGCTGCATGTTTGTATGAAAAGTGCTATAAAAATAAAGTTGAGTTGAGTTAAAAGGGATCTCTGACTGAATCAACTGTTTCTGTTTCTCCCCCACAGAGTTCTGCGAAATCCTGAAATAAAGAGAAAAAACATGCATGACCACGGCTGTCTTTCCTTATTTTGAATAATGGGTTTCTCATGGAAATCCTGACTTTCCAGATTGTTTGAGACCAGACAGATAATCTGCACCTGCCTGCTGCTCTCCCTGTTGATGTGATACAATAATTCATAAGATGTTTGGTGGACAGACAGTTAAAGCTGGCTATTAGTTGTGTGTGTTTAATCGATCAGGTACCTGGAATGGATTAATAAATGTATTTGAGATGTGATATAACTGTGTGCTGGTCATTCTTTTGCCTGTAACAGACCATACATGAAGTGTTTTTATGTTATTTTATGGCTGGATATAATTTCAACATTTCACTACAACTTACAGTAATGACATCCAGGGTATTCAGGGAATTAAATTCACTTAATTCTGAGTATGAAGTCCCTACATCACTACATTTATGAGAAAAGTTAGAGATGACTGACAAGATTAGCAAATCACAAGAGACTTTTCATTAAATTATACTGCACAAAGAGAGTACACTGGTTCTGAGTGAGCTATTAGCATTCTGCAGTCCATTAATTAAGGTTGAGTAGTCTGAATTCATAAAGGAAACAGGAACAGGAAATATTTAGGACAGGGGTCTTCAACTGCGCTCCCTCTCCCTCCCTCTGGCAAGCAGCATGATGTCAAAAATATAATGTAAACCAGCCCTCAAGATAATTTTTTTTTTCTAGCTGTTTCATATTAATTCAAACTACCCATTCATGTACAATAAAAAAACTACTTCATTTTTAAAAATGTATCTCCTTTGGCACAAAAGGTAAAAGGTGCCTGCAAATGGTTAATAAGAAGAGAGCAGGTTTCAGGTCTTCATTTGTTGTTGGCTGCAAATAACAAAGCAAATGATATAAAATGATGACATAAAATGTATAGAAACTCCTGACTGTCACAGGCATCATTTTGATGGTAAACCCCATTCTGATTCACTGCTGCAGTGTAGCTTATGTCCTAAAACATGTAGTGAGTGGGGAAACTGAAAGATTTTGAGAAAATCATTTGCTCTAAAATAGTGGAATTTTGTATTTTAAATTGGTGGGACCCCTCTTCAAATAAAGACATAAAAAATTGGGACTAGTACTGCCTTCTGCTGGACAGATTTCGAATGCCTGCAGAATTCCCACCGTAATTATGGAAAAGATTCATAATTTAATAGTTTATAGAGACCTGAAATGACTGAGGTGAATGTCTGTGACAAGTGATTAACGTTTAAATGACCTAAAGGTCTGGGGTTTACATATCATAAAGAGGTCATGTATGCCACAAAAACACATTCATCAGTCACACAAAAACACACAAAAAGCTAGTTTATTCTTTTTAAATAGTCAAAAAATAGTCTAATTAGTTGGTGTATTGCCTATTTAGTGGTATAAGTCTTGTCACTGTTAGGGCACTGGGTTGCTTTGAAACTTACTGCATGTGGAGTTCAGATGAACCATATGGGAATATAGCTATGTAGCCTATACATTAGGTAGAGCTGGTTAGGACAGGCCAGCATTGGCTGAGGCTGCACATATCTTTCATCTGAGACCATCTTAGGGCGGTGCTACAAGTCCAATCCTTCAGATGCAAGACAGGAAAGTCTGACTCCAATAATTTATAATAAACTCTCAGTAAAACTGAGAAGAATATTAACTATGTGGGAAATAACCAGACAGTGAAGTAAATGAACTTCTGCGCAGCCTATTACACACTGCAGGCAAGAGTATGGAATACAGCTGGTATTATTAAAGATAAAATATCACATAAAGTACATTATGATGGGCTGAGGTGCTGCAGCCTCATAATGCATATGACTGTGCTATAGCCTATGGCAACATTGCACTGATACCACATGAGAGAGAATGAACAAATTCTAACAAGCAGTCTACCACAGAGGAACATGTATCTAATCATATATAATACAGTGATCATGCAAAGGAGATAAAAAGCAGTAGTGTTTTTGAGAGCAGTCCTCCCACATATATTTACAACCTTTGAGTAACCACATAGGATACTTCTTCCCAGACTTGTCATTTACGTTTAAGGTCGTGAATTAGACGTTCCCTCTGTTAATTAAGACAGTGAACAATTAAATTGCCCATGGCGCCCGTTCATGGCTCTCAAGTTTTTCTCACAAACCGAACAAGGACACATGACCCATGGCCTGGAGTGTGTTGACTCTAACACAAGTCCCTTCATTTCATTTATATTCTCAGATTAAACCTACAACATCAGAATCAGCATCTTAAATGTTGGCCGTAAATCATATGAGCGCAACATGCCCCATGGAGTCAGCGGGCCTGCTCGAGTTTCCACACGTCTAGCTATAGGCCTCCGCACACATGGTAGCATCCTCATTTGTTCGCCTAAAAATAGGTCGAGACTAGTAGACACATTTTTTCGAAACCCATGCATCTTGGTACCTGATACTGAGACTCAAAGCTCTGTAAATGGTGTTGCTCAAGGATATATAAGAGCGAGGGAAAGAGGCTTGGAGCATTCACCCGAGTCCGCCTTGGTTTTCACTCCCTCAACGCAGCGCAAAGGTGAGTGGGAAGTGCGCCCCCGCAAAGGCCGCACTGACTGGCAGATTGCACTGGGAGGAAAGGGAATCAGACAAGGAGATCTCCGTGGACTATAACATTAGGGGGAAAATGGAACCAACATAGCCAACAAGCGGACCACAGGATGATTCAGTGCGAGAAGGAGGCCAATGAAATGTGGCCACTTTTGATTTCTAAGGATCAACATTTGTGGATGATAATTGCGCTATTTTACATGATCTCTTTTAACCGGATGAGAAAAAAAAATCACACCCAAAGCTACCACTGCATTCGCCCGGCTGCTTTGTTTATTTGTGGCAGTCACTCGTGTTGCCATGATATGGCCTCTCAATGGGAGCATCATCTATTTAGTGCCACAGCAGCAGTTGCGCGTTGGGATAAACAGAGTCAGAGTCTGTGTGTGACATCCGGAGGCAAAGAGTAGCTCTTTAGCCCATGAAAAAAAAAAACAAGATCAGTGATGCTGAGTGACAGCCTTTGCAAATTAAAGCAATTATTTAGAGTTATTGTGACCCAGATGAAACAAGTTGACATTGTATGCTTCTAGATGCTTTACAATACAGAGTTAACAATGCCTGAACTTCCATTCTCTTCATGTGAGGCTAGAGAGGAGGAGTAGCCTTGCTTAATACTTGGAAGCTATTATCTGGACACTGGTGCATTATTTTAGCCCGCAGTCCTGAGGCTTTGTTTGATTTATGATCATTTAAAAACAGGAAGGAAAGTCATTTAAGAACTGTATCTTAGGCCTCAGATACAAAATATCAGTCACTAAAATGTATTTTTGCTTTAAAGAAGGATATTTGCAATGCAACGATGCTGCATTTCATGTGTGATGCTAACCCTGACCTTTGTCTTCTCTCCTCTCTTCAGAATAAAAAATGGCCTTCGCTGGTGTACTTGTCGATGCTGAAGTAAAAGCAGCTCTTGATGGCTGCGCAGGTGAGCTACACCATCTTCATTTAGCACACAGTGAATGCACTGCACTCACTTCTTCATCCTCATTTATTATTATGTGCACATTATGACTTTTCAGTGCACATTTGATGCAAAAACCTGCTACAAATGGAGGTCACTGCACTGAACTCTTCAGAACAAACAGCCTGTTTTAAACTGTTATCACATTACATCAACACTGAAGCCCTCTGCTGTCCTATGCTATAGCAGCCTGTCGGGTGCTAACGGTGTTAACGTGTGTGTTCCAGCTGCTGACTCCTTCAACTACAAGACCTTCTTCAAGGCATGCGGCTTGTCCGGCAAGTCCGCCGAAGAAGTCAAGAAGGCCTTCTTCATCATTGACCAGGACAACAGTGGCTTCATTGAGGAGGATGAGCTTAAGTAAGACACTCAGAGCAAAGCACACTTAACCAAGCAATGCCTCTGTGGCCCCAAAAACACACACAAGATCTAATATCACTGTGCTTCATTTGAGTTTTTAGAAAAAACAAGATGTAGCTTTACACTTTCCCCTCATTGGGACATTTTGTTTTAGCTTGAAATGAATGGAAACTACACACAAAATACTGAAGAAAGGCCTTGTTTAATGGAGCCTGAAGGTTTTATGATCTTATACAATTAAATCCCTATGGATGTTTACAGGATACTTATTCTACGCTGTGATATACAGCAGACCAATCAATAGAGCCCGAGACTTTCATCATTTTAACTCCTGCTGTTTTATCAACCTTTCAGGCTGTTCCTGCAGAACTTCTCCGCCAGCGCCAGAGCACTCACCGACAAGGAGACCAAGGCTTTCCTCTCCGCTGGTGACAGTGATGGTGATGGCAAGATCGGAGTCGATGGTAAGACTTCCGGCATATCTTTGAATGTAGCAGAGATATTAGGCCTACTATTCATTCTGATGACTTTTAGAATTGGACTCTTAATTAGCATTTAATATCCATTCACATACTCCTTAAATCTGCACAGACTCAAAGTCTTGGTCAGAGTGGGTCCAGATAGTCCAGATCATACCACCGTGATGACATAACAATCTCAATACGTTTTGTTCACTACTAATGGCAGTTTTATTCTGTTTTCACAGAGTTTGCTGCCCTTGTAAAGGCATAATTTTCCATTGACCAAGATCCCCTTCTTTTCATGGAACTGCGAACTGCAAGATTCAGTAATCATCAGCTGAAAGAATATTTTTTTATACCTTATTTATGAGTTGCCTGCAGATTATTTTCTAAACATGGAACACATACTTTACTGTGAATGTTACTCAGATGTGTTAAATGTTCTGAAATGTCTTGTGCAAACTGTAAAACACCATCTGCACTTTTGAGGAAGAGTGAAAAACCAGGAATAAATACTCTTTTGGTGTAAATCATCTCCTTCAGGTCAGTTGTCTTTGCATTGGTTCCACTGTGAGGTTTCATACACCCCGTTGTATTCACATAGCTGTGGCTGTGTCAACGCAACGGGTTGAGGAAGAGGCGGTGCGAAACTAGGTTCCACCTGCCGGGGATTTTAAATACTCGAGAGGTGCTGAGAGGCAATTCAACTAACCTGCCGAGCACTTGTTTTGATAATTGGTTAATGGGAGGGGGAGTTAAAGCTGGACTCGGGCCACGAGCTGGCAAACACAGTGGGAAAGGCCCTCGGGCTATGCTCACATACTCCCCGGATCCAGGGAGGTTTGCAATGGATAGCTGTCACACATAGTGTAATTGGCTGCTCTGTTCCAAGGTCTTTTTCTCCACTAACTGCTGCGTAGTCAATTAGATGATGTGCTGTGGCAACAGGAGGGCTATTAACAGCCACTGTTGTATCAGCAACCTTTCAGCAGGTTGAATCTGATGCTTAAATGCAGAACTTTAGCAGTCTGAGGGGTTCTTAACAAATGAATCAATTCATCTATTGAGTTTATATGGAATGTGCCATATTTCTATACTATACCATCTATAATTGTATTGGCACATAAATATTAAAGTCCTATTACAATTCCAGGGGGAAGTTATGAATGCTCAGGGAACTGCAAGTCAGCAATATGCAAACCTCAACCCTATCAGATGACACCCTCAGCTTGTTACCATCAACCAGTGGTCATAACAGAGAGGCATAGTGACAGCAGAGTGACCTCGCAGGACAGTGCTGCCACCTACAGGTCAAAGCTATTCTCAGCATTACAAGTGGAGCTATTTGGCTGTCAAGAGGAACCATTCAGAATTGTCCTCTTCCTTTTCAAAAACTTTCACTGGAGTTTACAGAAACATCTGCCTACAGCATGAACACATTGTGCTTTTAAACAAATTAAAACAAGGTAAATGGTTCACTGACCTACAAAGAAAAAACTGTAATCTGCAATTGAAGACAGTTGTTTCTAAAAATATTTCAGTCCACTTTGATTCATCTGGGCAATAATATCTTTTTATTATTTTAAAATATGCAAGTCAAAATGACTGAAATTTGGAAATTGCACTGCTTCTATGTTAAAGCTTAATTATGACTGCTATATGCTTGGTTTTATAGATATTAGAAACTTCCCAAATCTGACAAAACACAAATGATCGCACTTTAAAACTAAGACATAACACATTCTCATTGTGACTGTGAGACTGTGTAGGCAACTAAAACAGCAAAAGCATCTGGTTCTAACATCTTTAATCTGTCTTTGTACATTCCGATTAATCTAATTCACAAAGGCGACTCTTTTTCTCCAAAATCGCCAAGAAGACTTAATAGAAATATTCACCAATACAATAGTCCATGCCTTCCAAATCAACAATGTAACACGAAAAGAGGGAAAAGAACCAATTACCGCCACTTACGCCAGCTCTAACGCATGCATGCTCCGTATCCACCCTCCTGAATACGGTTGTGTGGTGCCAGCAGCACTTCCAATTCGTCCTCCTCAGCAGTGCACAGGCCTATTCTTAGTTTTTTGGAGGTGGGGAGGGGGGGTGGACATTAAAGACTTCTTCAAACGCACCTTTTAAGCGTCTTCATTTGTGAAACTTAAAATAGACCGCTCTCTGGCCGCCACCCCCTCCTCGCCGGTGTCAGTTATCTTATGCTTCAGATTGCCGATCGAGTGAAACTATAAAAGGTCACCGGGAGCACCGGGAAGATCACTGCAGTCGACCGGAGTCTTGTCTGTATCATCTGTACCCTACAAAGCAAAGACAGCAAAGGTGAGTTTGAATGAGAGCAGGAAAGAAAGCCGGGATCCGTGCAGACCAAAGCCCGCAGCATCACACTTGGCGTCTCTGAGAAAAAAGATTTGAAACATTTAATATGGACTTCGCGTTGCAATGCATCATCTAAAGAAAGAATAAAGAGGTTTTTTTTTTTTGTTTTTCTGCGGGCTGCATGAAGACATGGATTACTGGTCAGCCTCTGTAGAGTTGCAATATAGAGAACACGTGTCAATCTCAGCCGATTTGGAAATGCAACATCAAACATGCTACTCAGAAGTGGATTTAATCATTTGAAATCTGAAATGATTTTATTTTAATATATTTCTATTGTATTTGGAATGAAATGATAACAGTTTGATAATTTTGTCAACAGACCAAACAGTTTTTTAACCCTGTTTTAAAAGGTGTTATATAAATAAAGCTATTATTGTTCTTATTCTAACGGAGAGGCGGCGCTCTGTTGAATGATAATCTGATCGATATGTCTATTTAATGTGATTCCTTACTTAAATATTGTGAACCATAATCCATAAATGTTCCCAAATGGCTCCGCAGCGATTAATATATCCTACTTAAGAAGCAAAATAACCGCTTTAATTTGCTTTCTGCAGATCAAAATGGCCTTCGCAGGTGTACTGGCTGATGCTGACATCGCTGCAGCACTGAATGGGTGCAAAGGTGACTTTTTCAATTACAAAAATCACAGTCACAGACTCCTGTGTGGGTTTTTTTCTCGGAGCATCGATTCACTTTGATGTGGATTTTGTGTCACCCGTTTCAGACGCTGGCACATTCGACCACAAGAAGTTCTTCAAGGCATGTGGGATGTCCGGCAAGTCCGCCGACGATATCAAGAAGGCCTTCTTCATCATCGATCAGGACAAGAGTGGTTTCATTGAGGAGGATGAGCTGAAGTAAGACACACACACACACACAAACACACACACACACCTGCACCTATAAAATGCAACACCAGGGGGCCTAAACAGATATCCACACATCAGACCCGTCAATCAATCTTCTGATTCCAGCTGCGTAAAGCTGCACAATGCTTTCAGTTATTATTATCATTATTAAAACACATTTTACAAAGCATACTTTAATTGGTGCAGCCTCTTGATACAACCCCATTCAGCGGTCAGGTTGAATATGAAGTGTGTCTCAGCTATCCTGGAGTCCGTGAACTAACCACCGACCGTGTCCGTCCTGCAGGCTGTTCCTGCAGAACTTCAAGGCAGGTGCACGGGCCCTGAGCGACGCGGAGACCAAGGCTTTCCTCAAGGCCGGTGACTCCGACGGTGACGGCAAGATCGGCTGTGACGGTGCGCACTCTCAGCTTTCTCACGCAGAGTGGTTAAAGGCTTTGTTTGCGCGTCTTTTGGTGCAAAACAGATGTCAAACTGTGTGTCTTTCTTCTGTCTCCCTGCAGAGTTCGCCGCTATGGTAAAGGTATAAACTGGCAACATGACCAACAACACCTGCTCTGATGGAACAACAAAGCCCACATCGACCTCCCCCTTTTCATCTGAATATAAATAATTTTTATACATTTGCTGAAGAGACGTTTCCTCCTATGCAACACACTGTCCAAAATGATGATTGTGAATGTCGCTCGGTTGTGTTCATGTCTTAAATATGAATTTTGCTTACTGTAAAATCTATGATGCACTTTCCAGGGACGAAAAAGAATAAATATTCTTTTGCTACGGTCCTTTTTATTGTTTATGTACGCTATGATTTGTGCCTTTTCAATTCAAACATCCTATAAACTCGGGCCAAAAGTCATCTCTCAAATTAAATTTTAACATGATTTATTGGCATGACATATAAATGTATCTATGTTACAAAAGCATATAGGCTACAGTAAATAGTGGCTAAATAAAAAAAGAAAACAATGGAAATTATAATACAAACTGTTTATGTAACTACACACACATAATCACACTCAGACACCATTACATTCCCTAGCCCCAAGTATTAACCCCTAACAGCCCCACAAGTGTAGCGGCTGGGTGTAGCGACCACTGTTTTTTGGACCCCATGAATGTAATAAAACAAGTCTTAACACACACAAGTATAATATATAAGTATATATTATAGGTCTGTAAGTCTGGATACACATAAAGTGCGCACACACGTAAACACACCGCTGTGTGTGTGCGTTTGTGTGTGT